CCTGGCTGAACCCAGCACACCAGTATATACGTGTCATGATACTTCCATATCAGTCCTTTAAAGCCTTGTCTACTTCTTACTAAAGTTACACCTACCACTGCTGCTACTGTCACTTCAGCTTGAATTTAGAGTTTCATGTTGCTGTTAATCCCGTGTTACCGTGGGTTGCTGCTGGGAGGTGCAGTCACACTGTGACCCCTGCCACCCGCCACACATTCCCTCTGTTTCCACGTTACATGGTCCTGGGTTGACGGGGTCTGCTGGTAAGCTAACCCTTTTGACCATGCTCAGTGGATGCAGCAAACAGAGTAGCAGGTATCCGTGTACTCTGCTGGAAACCACGGAGAAACTTGAGCTGTTTCTTCCCTTCTTCTTCAGGCAGCCTCCCTCCTCCAAGTGTGGTTGCTATCTGCACCCTTTCTCTACTGAAAAACCTCACTCCCGTTGCTGCTTCCTAAACTTGGTACCCAGGAGGGGTTTCTGGCCCATGCGGTCTCCCTCTGGGAAGCTGCATCTCAGCCGCATGCATTTCACCAGGCAGGCAGTGATTTATTAATAAATGATAGGCACTGAGGTGATGCGTGTGGGTATGTGACACCTACATTTCTAGAGTATAGTCATCTGTGCTTTGATGTGTGAGTGATAACACCTCTAAACTTACATGTGGCACTGAACAAAATTATAATAAGAATAAGGGAAGTTTGGGAATCTTGAATTGTAAATAATTCTTAAAATTGGCATTTTTCTATAAACATTTTAAAAAGACACTGTTTCAAACAAAACAGCCAGAACAATATTTGAAAATACTTGAAAATGAAGGAAGGTCTTTTAAAACTTTTTTCATCTGTGATTCCTGAATTACTTATCTCAGGCTTTTCAAAATAATTCTGTAATAGGATAAGACATTGGTTTATCAATTAGAGTTAGATAGGCTTTCTTCAAATGATGAAGATTAGGCTTGAAAATGAGACTTCATGTGAAAAGTAAACTGCAATTAAATCTTGAAAAATTCTCTGGTCAGGTTTGGCCACAAAATGATGAACTATAAATATATAAATAAGAAATGAGTTGCGTTATACAAAGAATTTTGAAACCTTGATCCAGCTTTAGGATTTATCGGCATCCAACTTGTTTCGTTGATTTTGTGAATAAAGATTACAATTTTCTCATAGATTATATATATCTTACTTACCTGATAAACTGAATTATCCCCTTTGAAATTCTAACAGGTTAGCATTGATCACTTCTATATCTTGTTTTTTTGTTTCCTCTCTTTTTTCCCCTAGTCCTATTTGTTGTTCTTGGTTTACATTAATAATGCAGTCCAAACAACTTCTCTTGGTGTTTCTCATCTAAATGTCTCAAAAGATTAACGGGAAAAAGTTGCACTAATGATAAGGAAATAAAGAGTGACTGTACCCAAAACAAGCTGTACCAAAGAAAGCAATTGTGATTTTTGTCTGTAATATGGGCGTCAGCCTTAATTCAAACACAGGCATGTTGTCCAGATGTCTCTGTAAGCAGTCTGTCAACTCCAACCAGCAGAAGAGCGCGTGTGTAGACAGCTGACCTCACTTGGCCTCCTGAAGTGCTTTCCATGTTGTTATCTATTTTTTGCCTTGACTTTTTAGACTTCTTTCTTTGTGGCTATCCAAGCCTTACATGAGGTTTCTATCTCCATCTCATCAATGCCCCATCTCTTTTCCTGTCTGATCTGAAACTCCTTATCTCCTCTCCTCTAAAGTTCCCTGTCTGCTTCTTGTTGCTTGTGTTGTATTTCTGCAGTGGAATTGTTTAACTGCCCAAGGATGAGGGCAAAACTTGCTGGTAGAAAACACACTGTCAAACCTATATTGCAGGAGAAACTCAAAAAATAAAGAGACAGCTCTCCTACCATTGTGGCCATATGGATGGCCACTGTCACATTGTAGAGAGCATGGATGAGGTCTGGGAAAGGGATCCCACTGTGGCTTTGCGCAGTGGGGAAGGGGGTGAGCAACCACTGGAGGTTTTCTCTTTTCCTTCAGCAGCTTCTTAAGATTATAGCCAGAACTGGTATTCAAGATTTCTTTCTGTTGCTGTGGATTATTACGTGTCAACATTGTATGTCTGCTACAAACTGTGCATGTTTCCAGTAGCTAGAAAGTCTACCATGAACAGTTTAATATGATTGTGATAATGATGTTAAAATGTGTTCAGAAGAATGTTGTAACATTGGTATAAAATACTAGAGGGGATAAATTAGTGTAAGACAATGTGGATAGTTGTGCTTATAGCACCTGAGGATGAACGAATTCAAAGCCTTTAATCCCAACAGTCTGTGCTTACTTGGAAAAATGTTTGTCTGACTGCAGGCATGGAACCCGTTGTGCTGGAGAAGTGGCAGCCACGGCAAACAACTCACACTGCACAGTAGGAATCGCCTTTAATGCCAAGATTGGAGGTATGTGAAACAATCTCCCACCAAAAAAAAAAAAAAAAAAAAAGTAACCAAAGAGGCATTTGTGCTAAATGGTACATTCAGACCTTTCTCAACAGGAGAAGGAGATTTGTATGGATAACAGACCTAGCTGTGTTAACAAGTAAATCTCAGTTGTAGAGGGGTCGTTAAATACCAGTACTGAAGGAGTTTGTCTCCAGTGACACTTCTCCAGTGCTCCCTGGAACACTGCCTCTCAGTACACACAGAAAAATAGAAAGCAAGACCTTTAATGGAAATACAAAGCCCAGAATTAGAACATTTGGGTGTTCTCACAGATTCAGAGCTCTAAGTGATGAACTTTGAAAAACCAGAAATAAATGTACACTTCAGAAATATTGGCTTGCATATTGAACCCAAACAAAACACTGTCAAAACATAAAACATTTTCATGTTGTTTGGCTGTGGTTGGAGAGAATCTTCTTTTGATGCCTCTGTGTGATCAAATAATTGCATGCAATATGAGATTTGATTGCACTTTTTTGTTCATTCGGCCAAGCGGTTGCAAGTGGTTTCTATGAATTCTTAGGCAATGGCTGCTCAATTAAGACCTTTGGCTTAATTTGTAGAGAAGACTATCAAAACATCGCAGATTCAGAGTGGAAGGTGTTGGAAGTGACCTCTAGAGATCATCTAGTCCAACTTCCCCTGCCAGGGCGGGATCATCTACGTCTCTCCTAGGCTGTAGCCTGCCTATGCCAGATTTTAATGCATCAAGTGAATTTTTACCCTGTACTTTTGATGAATTCATGGGATTGGTGTATTGGCTTTCGGTAGAAAGATCTATAGCTCAAACTCATTAATTGTTGATTTTCTGTACCAAAATAGAACCCATCTGTGAAAACAGAAACATGTTTACCTATATATGCACCAGAGGACAGTTCAAAAATATGACCAGTCGGAGTTGAGGCCATGTTTCTACAATTAATAGTACTGTATCTGTTCTCTACTGGATCAGTACAAGTTTGATCCAAATCAAATGTGAGCACAGCTGCATTTCAAATTAGCCAAAGCACACAATGTCCTCCTAATGTCAGCTTTCTGTTTTCCTGCTGGCTTCAAGAGGACAGGCAGTACCTGATCCAGCATAAGGACAGAGTGATGCAGAAAAAAATTCCCTTCAGGTGGAGAGCGTGGCTGCACAAAGTTACCCTGCCAGGGTGCTTTACAAAATCTGAACTGGCCAAGTGAATGAGTTTGTGGCAGGTGAACAGGTTGCCTCATGTGAACGTGGCACTGGATCATGTACCAGCAGCTGTGAATTCGGATTTATTGTGTTGTCAAACCAGAGTCAGGGGAGAGTTAATACACTGATACAGATAAAAGATGGCTTCTGGAGAAATTTCGTCTGTGAGCTGGATAGTCACACAACCTGCAACAGCAGGGGCGCGTCCTTGAAAAGTTCTCCACTTGTAACAGTGGCTTCTTAATGGGTTATTATTTATTAAGCATTAGGAAAGTGCAATAATAATGCTTTAGAAATCCTCCAGGCGTATTAGCTGAGTCATAGCCTTTTCTAACCATAGTGTAAAAACTGATTCAGATGGACATAATATGAACACAATTAATGTGAAGAGTGAAGACTGGATATGTGTGCCTTTTCATAATCTGTTTATTCATTCTGCACGAATAATGCAAACAACCTTCAAGACATTTCACTGGTCTAAATGAAATAAAAATTTTATGCACTGTGTTTGTCACCATGGTTCTTATAGAGCCGTCACTAAAATTGTTCTTAAAAGAAAGCTGGAAAGTAGTAACAGTGTATAAACCTCACTTGAGGCAATGTACCGCCTTTTAAAAGCATCGGCACTTGGAAATAAAATTTCAGGAGTCTCAGCAGATAATGTGCAGAAAGTCAGAGGCAAGAAGGAATTACAGGATACTGGGAAGGAGGGTTAAGCTTCCCCTAGCACTGTGTGCATGTATTTAAGAGTTTCACTGTTGCTGACCTCTATTTGGCATGCCTCTCCATTCCCTTGGAAAAGCCATGAGCTACTGCCACTATGCAGTGGTTGTGTTCCCTCCCCACAAGCCAGTTACAGTGTAAAAATGTTGAATCATATTATGCTGAACTAGGGTTCAGCTCCCTTGTTTCCCAGGGATTTAAAGACCCTTCTTGAGCCCTCTTGGAGAAGAAGCTAGAGTTGAGATAAAGCAATTACATTGTCCTTACACAGAGGAGCACCTGCTGACAGAGATGTTTGATTTGCTTCACCAAGATAAGTATTCTTTATTTCAAACCAAAAAGCATCTCTGGACATGCAGGGTATAGTAAGGAGATAAAGCAAAGGGGAAAAGAAATACTTTCCATCGATATTCCATCAAAAACTGTCAGATGAGCAAATCCGATTAATGATCTTTGTGATGGAAAGTCATTAAGAAGATACCCACCAGTAATGCTCTTTTTTTTCCTAAATGTGTTTGTACTCCTTGTCTCATTTCCACACATTTAAGAACCTCTCACCACAAATAGGTCAAAAATAACATCCTTAGAAAGTCTCAGCCTTCTCTTACAAAGGTGTCGGTGGGGATGTTAAGCTGCAGATAAGAAAATTGGAGTAAAAGTGCAATCTGGACCTTCAGTTCTTTTACAGGTTGAGGAAAGTTTCTTATAAAAAATGCCTGCACTTGCCTGCAGTTTGTGCTTAGCTAAACTACAGGCCCTTTCACTGAATGACAAACCAGTGCACCAAAGGGGTAGATCTTTTTTTAATGTGCCTCTCTGCACTAATCACACATAGCAAATTACCAGCTAGAGGGCTTGTGAGAGTTTTTATAGGAAGGGATGGTTAGCGTGTTGTTATTGTTGCATACTGATTGTGGAAGTTGCAAAGCATCTGTGGGGATTTGGGTGCTTAGTTACTTGGCTGGGCTGGAGTCCTGACGTGAACAGTACACTGAATTATGGCACAACAGATGTAGATTGTCTTCAGCTGAGGAGGAATTAGTTCAGCTGTTTCTTTAAGACAGATGCTGATTGAAAACAAACATGTTAAAAGAAAACTTGCTTGCAGCTCAATTTTGCATGTTTTCTGTAATTCATTGAAAGTTTCTTCTGACTAAAATGCGGCTTACATTTTGGCAATTACTGCAAATATTGGAAAAAGTTTACAGAGCTCTAAAGTCTTAGGTGGAACACTCTGCAAATGCAGCTTGTTAATTGCCTTCTGGACAGCTTTTGTTGCTTTATCACCACAGGCCAAATGCAGTTTGGAGGTTTTTTGATCAACAGAATTAACTACTCCAGACGTTTGGGGGGAAAAAAGAAATAAAGGAAAGAGAGAGAGAAAAAGGAATTATTTTGTTATGAAATAGCCAATGACATGTCTGTTGTTCATAGTCACCCTTGAAGCATGTCTGTTGGTTGTTGGCCAGAGAGAGCAACACCTAAGTCACAGCCTTGTCTGTGTCGCTTTAGATTTGACCACCACTGGCAAAAAAACCCTGGTGTGAATTACTTCAGATGCCAGTGGCAGAATTTGGAGTTACTGTTCACTGACTGCCTGTAATATTATTTAAGCTTGCTACCCAGTAAGACATAAAGGGAAGCTTTATTATCCTTCTTTCAAAAGCGGTGTACCTTTTATTGTCTTTATTTAGAACTAAATATATTTTAATGTGCTTGAAAGAAATTGAGAACACAGCTTCCACCCATCATTAATTTTCTGAGACTGTGCTGAGGAAGAAAAATAAAACCTGAGAATCCCAGAGTTGGTTTAATGACTTTTTTTTATAAAGTAAAGTTCATAATGAGGTCACTGTTTCTAAAAGTTTATTATCTCACAAAACATGGGCAGCTTTTGTGTGAACTTAGAAATATGATCACTTTTCATTTTTGAGTCAATTAGAGTACGGAAAAAAAAAAGACCCTCTATCAACAAAGCACCCCCTATGCCTTTTGTTAATTGGAAGTTAAGGTCTTGGTAAACACTCAGGTTACTTCAGGCTGAGCTCATGGGCAAAATTAAATGTGTCTGTAATTAAAAATATGTAAATTTCACTTATAAATATCAGTGGCCTTTTAAAAGGGAAAGTGTCAAACTTGTTAATTGTGAAAGTAATCATTACTCTCTACTATCATACAGTTACATGATAATTATTATTTAATATTTAACATCCCTTTGATCACATGACATGCTAGTCATTTGTAGGTCCTTTTTATTGTTAAGGTTAAAACTGGCATCGGCAGTTTCCTCAGTCAGAATTAACTTCAGTCCAAGTCTTAGAGTTAATCAAAACAACAACTTCAAGATTTTCTCAGTTTCCAGATTCAAGGTTACCTTACTCAGTCTAGTGATCTTAAAACATGATGATACCTTTCACTTTAGAAAGACTGGCACATTGACTTGTCCAAACCCACATGAATAGATTCTTTTAAGACAAGAATTTCAGATTATACCTTAGAAAAGCTTCTTCTGCACAGAGGAGGACGTTCACAATATTGTAGTTTCAGGTTGAGCAATGTTACATGTAGGGTATTTGTTTACCTTCTTGTAATTGCCTTGCAACTGTGTATGATAATCAATCTTTACACACGAGCTTTCTCCCCAGTTTCTTCCTTACGGCCTCATACAATGAAGGACTAATCCTATGTTTATCTGTCAACAGAGATCCTTTTATTACATCTGTGAGCATACTTAGGACTATGAATGATTCAAATTAGGTGCTGCGGTTTCACTGTAGTATAAAAAGAGAAATAAAATTATCTATTATCTTTAAGAGAGACATGCAAACATTTCAAGGTTCAAGTCTTTTTAAAAATTATCTGTAGTGTAAAAGTTTTTGTTGAAGTTTAAAGGCCGTATGGTAGATAAATGACTGGTAGATACTTTTAAAACTTGAAGAAAGACCGAACTATTCCTTCCGTTTTTGTATTGTTTCATCTAGAGATTTTTTTCCATTGGAAAAAGACATATCTAAACAGGTTTGGTTTTCCTTTAAGAATAGCAGATATCCTTATGATCATTCAGTCCAATGTTCTACACAACAATTTTTTCTGGGGCAAAAAAAAAAAAGAAGCATTTTGAGTTGATTGGTCCTGTTCATTGTATCTTTCATTCTGAAGGTGTACGAATGCTGGACGGAGACGTGACAGACATGGTAGAAGCGAAGTCTCTGAGCCTTAATCCCCAGCACATCCACATCTACAGTGCCAGCTGGGGGCCTGATGACGACGGTAAGACTGTGGATGGACCTGCTTCACTAGCACGTCAGGCCTTTGAGAACGGCATCAGAATGGTAGGTTGGCATCAAAGTGCATCTCCTAGATCTGCTCTCATGTGCAAGTGTAAGGGTACGTGTGCCCAGTAGGTGCAAGAGCACCGTGTGGGGAAGAGGAAAGGATTCTGAAGAAAGGAAGAAAATTTTTCTTTGCGTAAAACTAAATATGCATTTTCCTTCTGTAGTGACTTGACAGTCAGTACTTCCTGAAGTATCAGCTCTGTTCATTTTCAGCTGGAATACATCATCCTCAGTGTCCTTTAAAACTGCTCTGAGGTAATGATGTAATTCTGCAAGAAAAAATAATACTGAAAAATGCTATTTTGCACAGCAGTGCCAAGTCATCAAATCTGAACTTTTAAAGGGAAAGCCTTGACTGTTTTTCCTTCTTCCTTCCTTTCTTTCGTTGCTTTGTTTTGCTTGATTTCTTAATGGAAGTTTGATGACTTTAATGGGTAGTTGGGGACTAAAAAAACTCTACACCCATGTTTCTTTTAGTGCTTATGTCTGGTCTCAGAGGATTACACCCTATTTATAACTTACGTATACATTTCTTTACAAGTCTGTATTTTCTCTGTAATACAGCCCAGAGATCTTGCAACACACGAAATCCCGAACACCTCTATATGAAAAAATCTAAGACCTTTTCAATTTTCTTTAATAATTTACTGTCAAACAAATAAGACCTCAGAAGGAAATAAGTAGTTAGTGGAGCATTTGATGTCAGAGGCCAGGTTTTAGTTCTTCCTTTTACCCACCTGCCTTTTAAATAGATCAGGGAATTGTTCATCTTCCAGCGCTCACACTTTCCACTATACATATCTAATGGGAAAGATTCTAAAGCTTTGCACTTGAAGGTCTGAGAATTATTTTGAAAGCAGCCGGAGACTTGCCAGTTCAGTGGTGGGTGGCTCTAGGATCAGAAGAGAAGAGATTAATACAAAACATTTGTTTAAAGAGACTGAAACTGTTGGACCAAAGTGGGACAGGAATGTGGTTACTTGTACGTGGTAACACTGTGCAGCAAGATTGGAAAGTGCAGCTATTATTGAAGTCAGTAGGTGTTTTAACTAGGTATGCCAAGACTGATTTTAGCAAACCATAGATAACATTCAGCCTGGAAGATCTGTGCCATGTGTAAGAGATGGTTTCTGCCACTGAGAGTCTCTGTTAATTTAAGATATATCATAAAAAGCAGTCATAACAGCAAACAGGGACACTGGGTCAAGCTGGCAGTCTGTATTCACAGTGCAGCGTTTCAGGTGATTTACAGTATACCTGACTAAGCTCTAAGTAAATACAACACAAAATTGTTGCCCAGTATCACCATAAACTTTGCCTAGAAGCACAAACCTGGGAGGTGTCAGTTCACATCTGATCACAGCTGCATCCCTGCCTCATTTCAGCTTCCTTGATGAAACTGAATAAATTTCTTTCACCCTGTCCCACATGTGGATCGTAGTACATGCTCAGCTACCTAGCTGGGAGGTTATGAAGAGCAATTACTGAAATACTAAACTAATGACAGGGACCATGTGTTTCTGTGGTGTGACTTTGGTGTGGAACTGCAGATTTACGCTTTTGCTTGTGGTACATTATGTAACATGTGAAACCTGTAGGACAGCAGAATACTCAAGCATGTATTTTATCTTGAAAGAAATTCCAGGAGCCTAGCAGTTAAACACATTTGGGGACACTGGTAAATTCTTTCCCAGAGATACTGGTGTATTATTAAAATAGTTACTGTAGCACTCTTAGAACAATATAACAAGTATGTAGAAGGCCACATGCAGCTCCATTACTGCTTCCCATGCATCATCATGCCTCCTTTCAGATGGAGTATCAGTGCTTCCCATCACCCAGCTAGAGTTTACTGCTGTTTGTCAGTGGCTACAGAGGAGAACAATAAAATGATGAGGAGGACCCTAAAGGAACTGCAGCATGCAGGGGAACTTGTACAAAATAAGTTTTAGGTTTAAACATATGTACGTGTTAGTCATATTTCATGTAGGTAAGACAATCATGATAAGTTCAGCCTGAATTTCTGTGTCAAAATAGCTCGGCCATTTCCTCACTGAAATCTCAAACTAGGGATAAATCCGTTATAAATCAAGAACATGGAATAATTTGCCAAGAGTGTGGATCTTGCCTATAAGCATTATTGTTCCATTGTTATTATTATGGCTGTAATATGAGAGGCTACCCTACAGAACCCAGATGAATTTCATTTTACCAGCACATTGTTCTGTATTTTCAGTAAGTACCAGTATATAGTAGAAACATAATACTTAATTTTAAAATTCTAAGGTGGTCTTTTTACTGATAACAATGAAGAAAACATTTGGTGTATTTTTTTGAGTAGTAGAAGTCATATTTGGTGCAAGTCAAATTATTATTTTTACCATTTAGTTTCTATTTCACTATATCAACTTTTTGTCCTGCCCAAAGTTGTCCATGCACACTTGAATAGATGTAAATATTTCCAAATATTTGGAAATTTTCCCGAGTTTTGACTATGAAAGCTTTTTCATTTCTCCTAAGGAAGAAAAGTTCTCTTTAAAACTTACATAAAATCATGCTGATAAGAAATACAGAATGCTTAAGATAAGTCTCTGAATTTCTTTCTTTAAAATGTAATACAGACTGAAAGATTTTAAATGTGACTCCATTACCACCTTCCCTTATAGGCTTAGTTGCCAGACCAAAAAATTACTTTAAGATTAACCTATTCTTGTTCTTTTTAATAAACCATGCCTTCCCATGAATTTCCTTACACTGTCATAAGATAAGGCAAACAGGAGAAGAAAAGACAAATTATCTTTGTAGCAAAACATTGCCAAAACCAGATCATTGTCTAAGGTAATGACTAGATATTCAGCCAAACATAGATTTCCCCAAGCAGTCACAGTAATTGTGCAATTAATAATAGGCAGACAAAAACGCTTATTACGTTGTGTACAGATCTTGACCTTCCTTTTTTAGAAATATTGAACTGAACAACAGTATTACATCTGGTATAGCATTTGTGATGTAAATTAAAGTAACATTGGTACAGGAAAATATGGCAAGACAACCTTCTTTCAGATCTACATAAAAGTTTAAGACTGATATTATTCATTTTTTGTGCATGTGCACACACAACTGCATATTTATTATTTTTTTTAAAATGGGGCAATAAAGGGAAAGATCAAGATTTTTAAAAAGCATCTGACAAGGAAATTGTACTCAGCTTCTTTAATTAGGAAAATCAAAGGTGGTGCTGAAGAATAACTTTGATTAGAGTATAATTAAACTGAATTTTTACTTCTTTTTTATCACATTCATGAAGTAAAAATGATATGGATGCAAGAGCTGCAGTTTCTTATTCAGTTTCCTAAGAGACTAGGATCCATGAAAAAAATGCCTAATTTATCTTTAGTGCATATTATTCCAATTAACAGATCATGCAGGGTGTTTTAGAACTATTATTATTTTTAAATCTGCTGAGCTAATGTGATTGCTTCTTCCAAATCCTGCAAAAAATAACAAAGATAAACGACTGTACAGTTTTTCCATAGAGTCCCACAGAGACAGCACATGCCATGAATTGAAATAGACAAATCTATTTAAAGAATGGATACTGAGTAATAGCTGAGTTTATGAAATTACAACCTAACCAACAAGTTAAATATACTTAAAAATTCTGCCCAGGATTAAATAAAAGGAAGAGGAAACTGACTTTTAAACCTGTCTCAAGTTTTCTGATTTTTTGTCGTCTTTAGGCTATTTTGTTTAATTCTATTAGATTTGCAGACTTGAGCTTAAAGAGAAACCTTGGAGACTTTGCGATCGAACAATTTCTATGCAAATATAAAAGCTCCATTTATATCATGCTTCCAGTTAACAAGGTCCTTTTCTTGGAAATAGTGTAGTCATAAGGGTGGAAAATTGTAGAAGCTTGTGCTTTACCAAGATATTAGAAGTTGCAGACCTAATAATCTCAAAAATAATTCCATTATAATCACAGAGAATTTTCCTGAAAAAAATCTAGAGAAGGGCAATATATCCAAAAGTAACAAATTCAAGAAAAGATTAGGTATGCGATGTCACACTTCACCCTGTGTTCAAGAACAAACAGACTTAGCATTGCAAAACATGATTGTGGCCAAATCATGTAGCAAGACTGTGCTGAGTCTGGGACTAAAGGGAGAACACAAAATCCTTCCCTTGATTCGGGAAGATAAAACCGAAGTACCACTAGATTTTAAGATGACTGTATCTCACAGTCCATAAGCACTTGAGAGACTTAGGCTTGCTGACTCATGGCTCGCTCTGTGGTACAGGCGTTCAGACTAGTTAATTTCTATTCATACAGATAAGCCTGTTATTCTGGGATCACTCTCAGCATCATTTGGAGAGTCATGCATTTCGGATATTCTGACTTGTCCTTTCACTGCTGTTTGGCAGAGATCTAATAGTGAAGTTTCTGGATATATGACCCCTGTTGATATTTTACGTTGCTGGCTTTCAAAGAGCTAGTTATCTCACCCCTCCAAACATCCCACCAGCTGCATGCTTTATGTTGTTTGTTCTGCAGTACCCGTAAGGTAGTTCAAATCAGCAATGGGGCAGGTCATCCTTAATACAACCTAAGAAGGAGGGAAATCTACATGAAAAATTCTGGCTTTCTGCCTGCGTCGGCACAGGGGCCTTCATCTTATTGCCATGACACCATTCTGTTTAACAGTCTGGACACAAGCCAAAGTGTTTGATGGACATTAATGATCAGATGCTGTGTGGCTGAACCTCTTGTGAGAACTCGGCTTGGTGCCTTCCCTCCCATCATCACTGCCCCTTCTCATCTCTCTCGCTTCACCAACTTCGGCCGCACAGTGTGTGTTCAAAGTGTTTGTTGGGAGCAGAAGGCTCTCCTGCAAGCACTAAACAAGCCTCCTACACACGTGCAAGAGAGAGAAAGGCAAGAAAGAAAAGGGAAAGGAGGAAAGAAAGAAAAGGATTTCACATTATTATTATTATTA